AAGTGGATATTTGTTCTTGATGGTTACTTTGTTTAATTGTCTATAATTAATGCACAATCAGAGGCTTCCGTCCTTCTTCTTTACAAAAAGGACTGGAGATCCCCAAGGTGAAACACTTAGTCTGATGAAACCCTTCTCAAGTAGCTCTTCAATTTGCTTTTTCAATTCTACTAACTCTAAAGGGGACATTCGATAAGGAGCCTTAGAAATTAGCCCTGTACCAGGTACCAATTCAATTGAGAACTCTACCTCACGCTTCGGGGGTAAACCGGAGACTTTGTCTGGAAATACATCTGCAAATTCTTTGACAATAGGAATATTCTTCACGCCTTCATCAATCTCAGCTTGGATAGAGAAGAAAACCATATAGGCCTGGCAACCCTTCTTCATATATCTATCAACTTGCGCCGCCGACAAGAAAACATGATCTTGAGTCTCGACTGAGGTCACTGACAAAGAAGATAAAGACACACTCCTCTCTCTACAATCTAAGATAGCACCATTTACAGCCATCCAATTCATTCCCACAATTACATCCATACCTCTCAATGGTAGGATAATTAAGTCTATAGTTGTTTTCCTATTTTTAAACTCAACTACTAGATTAAGGCATGCCTTAGCAGTCCTCACAGATTCTCCCACAGGAGTAGACACATTCATATCAAAAGGTAAAATACACACAGGTAAATCAAGGTTCTTTACACAAGTTTCAGAAATAAAAGAGTATGTAGCATCCGAATCAAATAGTGCAACAATATCATGATGAAGGATTTTGATGTTACCTCTAATGGCATCTGGGGAGTTCATCGTGTCTTGAGTAAGAGCAAACACACGGCCAGAGATAATAGGATGTTGGGAAGGGTTCTTCATATTTGAGCCCTGGTTGTCCCCACAAAACTTTGCAATGTGACCGAGTTTCCCACAAATGTAACAGACCCAGCACTGTCCAAAATGACGACGCCCGCATTTAGTACATTGCTGAGAGCTCGCTGTACTCGAGGCAGGGGTAGATACTATTGGGCTCCTCTGTTACTCGTGATAACTACTATGATAGCTCCTCTGTCCTTGGCCCTTTTGAAATGGACCCTTCTGCCTTCCTTGGTTTCATGAGCTACTCGAACCCTGATGGTTTTTCTTCATAATGCCTCCGGTGGGTCGGGGGTAGGTTGGGGGTCTACTATATGAATAATCCCTCTTCTCTCTTTCGACCTCCTTCTTACTACGAGCTACTACTTGTAGTTTTATGCACATTTCATCATAATCTCGGATATCTAGATGAGCCAATTGCTCCCTCAATTCTGGTCTAGCCTTCTCCAATAAGCGCTTGGCCTTCCATTCAGAATCATCCCTATACTGCAGGTACGTGGAGTATCTAGATAACTCCTGAAACTTAGCAATGAATGTGTCCTCGTCGAGGTTCCCTTGCTTAAAGGCATGGAATTCAGCTTCCTTTTCAGACCTTAACTCTGATGGAAAGTAATGTCTGAACAATTTTTCCTTGAATTCCTCCCATGTGAGTGTAGAATCATCCCTGGGTCCTGCTGTCTCCCACCAATCTCTTGCTCCCTTTACTAGGAGCACTAATGCTACTTGTACTTTCTTATTACTGGTGCACGTGACTACTCGAAAGATGGACTCAAGTCTCTTCACCCATTCCTCTACCACAGATGGTTTAAGGTTACCATCAAATGTAGGAGGCTTAAACTTCCTAACAATTTCCTACACATCAGTAATGGTCGGTGGGGCTCTCTGTTCCTCCTGCCTAATTTCCTTCCTTCTAGACTCATGATCTCTCGGAGTGGCAAGATGTGAGAAACTACCTTCCCCCGTATGACTCTCAACATGAGCCCTATCTCCATTTTCAGTTACCTTTTGCCTCTTTAGCTCCGTCAACTCTTGTTCGTATCCTTGAACCTTGTCTGTTAATGTTTTTACAAGCATTCTCAATTCTGCCAAGTCAGGCTCCTCATTTGGTAGTGGCGGTGGTGGGTGCTCATGTTGGGATCCTAAGTTACCACGAGTAACAGGAATTTTCTCTCCCCTCCTAAAGGATATAAGATATAAAGAATAAAATTAGCCTAACTATATAATGGCCATACAATGAGAAGCACCGTAACAATGTATATTGCCAACCGACTATATGCAATGCACCACATCTAATAAATACATATTAAATTCACACAAGTAATAGTTTCAAACAAAAGTTTAAATAAGTGTTATTAAAATAGAGGCTCGAAACATGATGCTCTGATACCAATATGTAACACCCTCAAATTTACAAATTGATTTTTCGTAAATTATTAATTCAACAAATCATTTTTTTATTGAACCCTTGTCATACCCTTATCATGGTAGAAAAATTTCTACCATGATACATCCAAGATAATATACCACAGGTCTTAAAATATCTCAAAAAAGTAATTAGAACCATGAGGGACAGACAGGATCCTCATGGCATGATATTTAAATCAGGTCATGAATCAAGAGGGACAAACATAATCCTCTTGGTTATATAATTGTATTTAATAAAAAGGATTAGAGTTTACATGTTGTCAAAATAAGAAATGTCCTAGGTTAGCATAAGATACATTGCATAATACAAAATGAGAGGCGACGTAAAAGATGGTGTCTCATGCACCAAAGTTACGCCTCTGGTGCTTTCTCGGCCGGACTCTCTCCTGTAAAAATATTAACCACGGAGAATGAGACTTAAAAGTCCCAGTAACCAAAAATTAATATGTAATGATGCATGCGGTTGTAACTAATCATGCGATTGCTAAGTGGGCACACAAAACATTTAACAGAACCATATTTTCAAACAAATCGAACAAGTATTTAATTTGCATGACTGCACCTTATATCCTCCTTTCGCCATGCTCAGACGCCAAATCACCCGACCAAAGGTGAGTTGGACCAAGTGACACGCCACTCATTGAGTCCAATGAGGGCTTACCACATGGTAATATTTAACCGAATAGAAATTCCTATTAACACCATACATTAAAATACCCTGACAAGTCATGCATCATTCAAATATCCAAACAGGAATATATCCGAACAATAATATCTCATCATGATAAATAAAAATAAATTTTTGACCCACTTGGCAATAATTTCAAACAAATATATAACAGTATTTATTTTTAATAATTCATAATTTTTTCAAACAATAAGTCAACACATAACCATTCACAAACACACTCATCACAACACATTAATAATGATTATCTTGTGTCTTGAATAACAAGTTCCCTTTCACAATTCCTTTTTCACCACTATCTTTGTCAATATAATCTACATAATTATTTCACAATACTATATATTAATTTTAAATTAAAATAAATAACTCTAATTTAAAGAGTTAGAAAGTCTTAGATCTATAATCCATATTAACACTAATTTAAGATTTATGCCTCATTTAACTTCCAAAATTCTTTTCTAAAATTCTCATACCCTAATAAACTATTTTTTTATCCTCAAATCACTTCTAGTATCACAATTTCATCCTTCTATATTCTAAAAATTCATCCAAAAATAAATTAAAAATTTTAAAATTATTCTGAAGCCTCAAATCACTTTTCTATAACCTCAAAAATACCTATTTATACTTAAATAAATATTTAATAATCAAAGGTTCATCCCTACATCTCAAATTCCACATAAATTCAATCAGATAGATCTAGTTTTTAACTCAAAAATTCTTAAATATGAGTTTCAACCTCAAAAAAATAGTCTATAATATTTATTATATCCCTAAGAGTTTTAACCTATATTTTTAATCCATCATATCATCAGATTAACTATCTTATAGAAAATCCTAATCAGAATATTTACTCTATCCTACAAAATAATCATATCACTAGAAAGCTAATATTATTTAGAAAATAACTATAAAATTAATTTTGTAATTAAATAAATTTTTAAATACTAATCTAAACAGGAAAGTTAGAACATACCTGAAAAAAAAGAAAATAATCCCTCCTTGCGAGAAAACGTCGAGCATCGTGAGAGGAAGAGAGAAAAATAATATAAAAATAAGATTGTGGGTCTCAAAATTATATTAAAAAAACTATAGGCCTGAATTTAATTATTCAAATCTTTGGGTCATAAGTTGCAATTTCTTCTAAATTACATCTTAGCCTCTCATGCTTCCTAATGCACACACCCCCTCCTTTTTATACATGAAGGCATCTCTTCTCTTTCCTCATCTAACCAATGTGGGACTTAGAAAGAACAACCTTTCACCCCTTTTTTTTATTCCTTCTACCTTCTCTCTCTTTTTTTTTAACACACACATAAAAAAATTATTTATGCATTATATCTTAACTAAATATTGCTTATGTGGTTTTAAATTTAAATTTTTAAATTCATAATTAAATACCTAACCATAATATTATTTCTAAATAACCTCAAATAATATAAATTTTTATTATTATCATTTTTTTCCTCAAAACCTAAATTCCAAAATTTTTTTATTATATACAAATCAGAATGTTACACATTTAACTTAAGGACATTGTCACAATCTTAAATAATTGCATTTATGAAAAGTTCAAAATTTTTAAATGGTTTTTGCCATTGCTGCAAAGAAATAAGTTATTTAATTTGATATTTAGTTAAAATGATATTTTCTCACATGATATTCATAAAATAACTAATTAACTTTTAGAGAATTATATATAAGAATATTTTTTATCTATATCAGCAAAAAAAATAGTCAACTTTTGCTTAGGTGTCAATTAAGTGGTCAACGTTTAAGGAATTAGATGGATTAGAACTTTTGCACCAACTCTAATAATGTTATAGGTATTTTTGCTCTTGGTTGATAATTTCATGGATATTTTTGCCCCTTTATTAATTCACATCAGCAATGACTGATGTGTCACATGCACAGTCAGCATCTAATGGTCAAAGTTTATAACGTTAGGTCAAAGTTAACAGTTTAGTCACTTTTACATTCATCTGTATAATGTTATGAATATTTTTATCATTTTTCTCACTTTAAGATATCAAGTACTAGTGGCTAACCACTTTACAAGTATTTTTGCTCATTTACCCAATATTTTATAAGAGAACAAAATCTCCTTTTGTCCATTGACCGTTTAGTCTACCGTTTATAACTTGTCATTTTGTGGGGCGCAAGAAGATTGACAAGTCAAATTTTCCAAGAAGCGCTAGCACCTCGCTGGCCTGCCATTTTCACCGCCCTTTCCCAGTACTCCTTCAGCGCCATCTCTGGGGTCCTTGCCAGTCATGTCGTCACCCTCCAACTTGCCGCCTTCTCCTTCAAAAACTCTGTCATCACCAGCTTCTGCTTCAGCTTCATGGTTAAAATCTAGAATTGATTAAAGCAACAAAGAGAAGCATTGAAGGGAAAGGGAAGGGGTGACAAATTTTCAAAAGAAGGGGGAGAGAGAAGGATGAAATGAGAAGAGATCATAATAGAGAAAAGGAATGGCCACCGATTATGAACACGATATAGGAGTTAAGCCACCCTCTGATATGTGCAGCAAAACTAACTGTCAATGGTTCGTATGAGGAAAGGGAAGAATCGTCACTCCCTCTTGCATCTAATGGAGCCGATACTCTCTGACTCTGAATCTGTTGTACATCTTCGCGAGGCAAAAGTCCTGAAAGCGATAGGTAGAAGACGACGATCATGAACGTGGCAAGGCTGTTCACGCTTTGGATGATCCCGTAGATATTTACGTATGCAAAGTACTTTTCGATCCAGAAGTTCTTGCAGGTGCAAAGCAGAATCATTCTGACAGTAGCGATGCTCGGTCAATTAGTTTACATCTTCGTCGGGACGATGGCTCTTCCTTCCAAGAGAATCTACGGAGTTTGCTTCGCCTCTCTCTTGCCTACGTGTTATGCTTTAGTTCGAAGCCAATTCAAACTTCACCAGTTGGAAGCCAAGTCAGATTTTTCTGGGGCCCACGCAGTAGCAAATCAGCAGATAACGTGAGACTAAACAGCCAATTGATAAAAGGATATTTTTTCTCCTTAAAAAATATTTAAAAAAGATATTATTCTACCTGAAAGTATAGAGTACCCAACACTTTTAAAAAATAAATATAGAAGTAAATTTAGAATTTAATCCCATGATTTTTTTTGTAATTTTAAAAATAATAATTTGACTAAAGCACCTTGGTGCCCAAGTTAACAAGTTTGGATTAAAAAAATTTTCAATTCAAATAAAATGATTTTATAATTCTTTTATAGTTAAATTCCCAACTTTATTAAAATGATTTTAATTTTTAACATTGATGAATTTTAAATTGATCAATAAAAACGTTTTCAACTCAAATAAAGTAATATCATTAATCCCTTTCAACTAAATTTTCAATAAAATTAAAGTAATTTCAACACTAGCAAATTTTAAGTTGGCTAATTGTAAGTGTAGAAGTACAAAATTTTTTTGACTCAAATAAAGTAATTTTATAACTCCTTTAACTAAATTTCAATCCCAATTAAAGCAATTTTAGTGCTAAAAAATTTTAAGTTAGTTAATTGCAAGTTTGAAAATAAAAACTTTCCTAACTCAAAGTGATGTCAAAGCTCATTTCAACTAAATTTCTAACCCAATTAGAGTAATTTTAGTACTAGTAAATTTTAAATTAGTATTTTAGTCAACGTATTGATTTTAAAACTACAAAAAAGGACCAAAGTACTAAAATTTAATTTCATAATTTTTGTGATCCTGATTGGTTATTTACGATATTTGAGACTCCTTGTTTATAATTTTCCTAATTTTTCCCCTATTAAATATTTAAAATAATTGAGATTTGAGAAATGAGAATTCGAAGTTCACTGCTGCTCCTCGGTCCCACAAAAAAAAAAAAAAAAGGTTCACCCGCTGCTCAAACCAGCCCGCCGAGAAATTCACGGCTCTCCAACTTTGACTGCCACGGATTATCACTCTAGTCAACACCGCAAAATTAACATCTTCAACACATCCTTGCAATTCTTGATGTGTTTTGTTTTGTTTTGCCTTTTTTTTTGACCGAATTGCGATTCTCCATGTTTGAAAGAACACGATCAGATGAAGACAAGCATCCATAATATAGTGATATTATAATCAATACACTTGACCTAAATAAACCAACTTGGGAAACACGCATAATATAGTGATATTATAATCAATACACTGCCCTTAAAATAAACCAACTTATTTTGGTGGTTTCCAAAGTCTCGAGTTTGGCGGATCTATCATATATAACTTGACACACTATGCATGATAACCTACTCCATTACCTCTGCTTCTAACAGAGTCTTGCAATACAGAGAAAGAGAGAGAAAGCAGAAGACAAATGGATTCTACAGAAAGAGGAGGATCAAAGCCCCACGTTGTGATCACTCCCTTTCCAATTCAAAGCCATTTGAACACCTTCTTGAATTTGGCCAAACTACTTCATTCGAGAGGCTTTCACATAACATATGTTCACACTGAGTACAACCATAAACGCTTGCTTAACTCGAAAGGTCCTCGAGCTCTCGAGGGTCTCCCTGATTTTCGCTTTGAAACCATCCCTGATGGCCTTCCTTATACTGAAGCAAACACTACCCAACATTTACCTTCTTTATGTGAATCTACCTCAAAGAATTGCCTCCCCTATTTTACAAATCTTCTCAAGAGGCTTCAAGAGTCTGCCTCTGAGGGCCTTGTGCCTCCTGTTACTTCCTTGATTTCTGATGTTGTCATGGCATTTACTGTTAAAGCTGCTCAAGAATGGGGACTTCCTATTGCTTTGTATTGCCCTATAAGTGCTATCTCTTATTTGGCTAATTGGCACGGTCGCACTCTTCTTGATAAGGGTATCATTCCCTTGAAAGGTAACCCATTGATGATGTCACTCATTCTTATTTCTTTTTTATCTTGTTCTTTTGTGGGTGTGTATAAGCCATTAATGTTATCCACTCTTTGTGTGTGAATGTGTCGTGTCATTTCTTTGGTCTATTCATTAAAATGATGAATCTGCAACAACGTTTTGTTTATTATTGGTGCAGATGAGAGTCAACTGACAGATGGATACTTGGATACTAAACTAGATTGGCTTTCAGGAATGAAAAATATCAGATTGAGAGATCTGCAAAGCTATTTTTATTCACTAGAGCCAAATGATCATCTAATGCTAAACTTTTGTATGAACGAGCTACAAACAGCAAGAGCTGCTCAAGCCATCATTTTCAATACATTCAGTGAGTTCGAAAGCGAGGCGTTGGATACTCTTTCTTCTATCTTTCCTACTATTTACACCATAGGCCCTGTCCCTTTGCTTTTAAATCAAATTCCACATAACCATAACTTAAATTCCATTGGCTCCAATCTTTGGAAAGAAGAGACTCATTGCATCCAATGGCTAGAATCCAAGAAACCTAAGTCCGTAATTTATGTTAATTTTGGAAGCGTGACGGTTATGACTCTAGAACAACTACACGAGTTTTCTTGGGGATTAGCCAACAGCAAGAAATACTTCTTGTGGATAATAAGGCCTGATCTTGTGAAGGAAGGCTCAGTATCTCCCGAGTTTCTGAGTGAGACCAAAGAAAGAGGCCTCATAGCCAATTGGTGTGAACAAGAGAAAGTGTTAAATCATCCTTCAATTGGAGGGTTTTTAACGCATTGTGGATGGAATTCCATAATAGAGAGTGTATGTGCAGGGGTTCCAATGGCTTGTTGGCCTTTTTATGGAGACCAGCAAACTAACTGCAGGTATGCTTGCATGGAGTGGGGAATTGGGGTTGAGATTGACATTAACGTGAAGAGGCAAGTGGTGGAGAGTCTTGTGAACAAGTTGATGGAAGGAGAGAAAGGGAGTGAAATGAGACAAAAGGTTCTAGAATGGCAAAAAATTTCAAACGAGGCAATTAAATTTGGTGGCTCTTCTTACGTCAACTTGGAAAATTTGATTAGTCAAGTGTTGATCAACAGCAAAAACTAAGTTGTTACATGAAAATTTTAATTCTTTTGCATATCTCAATTCATAGTTTCTTTTTTTTGGTTTTCTGCATATGCATTAAAACTCTTCAACAAAATATATTTTTATAGTGTGGATTGGATTTATCAGAGTCATAGAGATAGTATTAGCCCTGATGTAACTTTGAATTTAGTCATATTTTCAATAAAGTTATGGAAGAACCAACGAAGTTATGTTGTAATATGTTTGATTGTGTATTAATTCCCCCGACATTATGAGGAGAGCCATCTTCACTTGTAATCAAGTTTTTCCATTAGTAATTTTAATATTTCTTTCCTTATGGTATCCTCCTCCTGAAACTTCTCTTTCCATTTCTGAAAACTTAAAACCTCATTTAAGTTAAATTTGGTTTAGAAAGTCTACTCTCTAAATTGTTTATAACTATAATCGTTTTAGAAAGTGACATTTAAAAAATATATTTAGGGACTTTTTTTTTAGGATTGGAGGTAATTTGATTTATTTTTAAATCACGTCCAATCCAAAAAATGCCACTATTTTTTACCATTACGTCAATTTTTAGCATCCATAAATAAGAATCAACTATGATAAACAAAGCCCATATTTATTTTTACTGATTAGAAAACAGTATATAATATACAGTACAAAGAGAATATCGAATCAGAACTTCACTAACCTCACAAGCACAGATTCTGTTTCCTGATGTCAGCTAGCAGTACGAAAATACCAAAAGAATTATAGATAATACCTTACAACACCCTCACACTGTGACATGGCTTATTTGTATTGCAAATATTGCAGTTCGTCCACTTTGCCAGATCGATATTGCCACACCTAAGATAATTGTAACACAACGACATCCATTACAAGAAGTTTACAAGAAAAAAGTAAAATCCAATCCGATATTAACATGTGTCATATAAGAAAATTCAATTGGCAATAAAATTGATAACCTGCACCCAAATGCTTTATGACAAACAAACCTGGTCAATTGCACAAGGAATCAAGCAACGGAGATTCTCTTTGCCAGAAAAAAGGTGAGGAATTGAACTGGGAAATGACGGAACAGCCTGTATGAAGAAATGAAGCTTACATAATACTTCCATGTATGATGCACAAACTTCCAAATTTCCATCAGGATCAAACAAAAAGGAATATAGAAAAGCAACTTTTCCATTTTTTTAACATGAGGGATAAATATGTTACATGCAAATTGCTTTTTGACCACATTTTCTGCCTCAACAAAGACATCCACACGCGCGCGCCCTAGTACACATTAAGTTCAGTGTTCCAGACAAATCAAGAAACATCAGATTGTGGTGGAAATTCTGCTGATATGGAAAAACTTTTACATCAAAATTAGCAAGTGGACAACTTGAAATGAAGAATACCAACAACCAGATCAAAAGGCAACACAAAGATAATTACAGCTAAACGAAACCTTTCAGAGGCTTGAAAAGACAACCACAGGAAGAAGGGGAGTAAGCATTGAACATCTATAAAGTGCAAATGGATTTCCTACACCAATGATTTTCACCTTCACACATTCTATAAAGATCAACTGACCGCAAAATTGCACTTGAGATGTCAAAAACTATAAATGATGAGAAAAGTGCAAAAGTCTTCGTTTTCATTTCAATTTCCAAGATGCTCCCAGAAGATTCAATATCATTTAAGCATTGTCAATTTTTTGGTCAAAATCAGTTACTCAATGGCAGCAAGATTCCATAATTCATATAGATTCATATCCAATGAAATTCCTAAAACCATAGGTAATATTAAATTGGATAAAACATCTTAAATTTGTGAAAGCATACTTGAAAATATATCATCAGGCCAAAGCTACATTCCTGTCTCACTCACCCGCCAACAAAATCAAAATCAGAAGAAATGAAAGTCTTGCAATATCAAAACTGTAGCAATAATATCCTTAGCATTTTCTCGTGCAACTCTTTGGCTCTCCTCTTTGCTGAGATTTTTTCACAAGAACTTCTCATCATCTGTGAGTTGTATAATAAGAGGAACCTTAAAGGCATCTTGCAAATACCTAGACACATTTTAACAAAGTTAACACCTTCAAAAACCACAATGGTTTAATGTAATTCTTCATTTTCTTTTGTCAAAAGATTTGAACAGTACAAGCTAATTTACAAACTTCCGTTTCTCTCGCTGCCTACTTTGTGGCAGAGTCAATTGAATTATATATCTACATATTGACTGGTTTTTTCTCTTATAACTGCCGAACACAAACTCTACTTACTTTGTAAACATGAACGGAACCAGATGACCCAGATGGTAAGCTTCTGAAGATGGTAATGACACCAAGGGCTGGGATCAACTGAGCTGTGACAGGGCTTCCTTGCAAAGCATCATATGACCTGCATCGTAAATTTAAAAATAATTAATTTTAAATTCCAAAAAAGAAAAATTACGAAGATAATATATTCAAAGATAATGACACCAAAAAGAAGACACACGAAAAGAACAACAATACAATAATCCCAGTTGATACGAAGCTTTTAACAATAACGATTACAAATTCATATACTAATCAAATTAGATTCTCAGTCGAGTAACTGCCAAATTTCTACCCGTTCCTCCACCAATACTAAAGGGAAAGAGAGAAACAGTGTTGCAGAAGATGAAGTTCAAGGCTACTAACAACAAGCATCACTAATGCAAGCCATTAAACAGGTAGATAAGCAGCAGGGGGCATAGAACTAAGTATGCACTAATATTGTGTGAGACACAATACTACTGACAACAGAGCGGTGTTTGGAGAGAAGAATCAAATCAAGGTAAACAAGATATCAAAGAAAGTCTACTATTAAAGACATATTTCTTTTCCAATGGAACAGATTTACATGGTTCTTTGACCAGTATAAAGCTTTGGGGAATCCCTGAATATAGCACTCATGTGCCAATTCATTCTCCACCGTTGCATCCACCTTCGCCAAAACTGTCACATTCTGAGACTTCAACTCGGTGGCGTACTCTGGCATTTTTGAAGAGTTTAAGATCACCGGAGAAGTAGAGGGAGAGAGATCTGTCTGTGACTGAGAGGGGAGAGAAGTTGACTAGTAGGAACAGATCAACGCTTTCTGGCCTTTGCACGACACAGTTGATTGAGGATTTGGGGTTTTGGTCCCATGATCATGGCCGGCGGTTCTCAGCTGCTCCCTCTTCAACGTCGCTCGAACCAGTCTCTCCCAATTGTCACGAACTGTAGCCACGTTGCCTCCAGCACCTACCAAAGCAACCGATGCCCAACGTGGTTGGGCTCCGGAGAGGATACAGATAGGAGGAGGCGCCAAAGAGAGGAAAAGAAGAGAGAACGCAGTTTGAGTGTGTGTGAGTGCGTGTGTGGGTGCGCCGGCGTTTTTCCTCTTCACTTTCTAAACTGCTGCCCGGTTTCCTCTCCAAACAATCTAGATTAAATTAAACTTAATTCCCATTATTGTCAACTATTTCTAAAAATTAAATAACGATATCTTAATCAGGTCAAGCAACTACAAGAACGACGACGACGACAATAACAACGACAACATCTTAAAAGTTAAAACCATCACCTTTTTTTTTTCTTTTTGTAAATTGCAGGTCTTTCTTTTTAATTTTTAACTAGAACCAACTCTTTTGATTACTATGATATGATATTAAATAGCTATTACTTATTCTATTATTTTTTTTCAATATAAATTTTTTATTATCTTGAAATGATTTTATTTTTTTAAGTTATTATAATTTTATTGTTTCTTTGTACATTTAATTTTAATAAAATTATTTTTTATTATTTTATAAATATGTATAATTATATTTTAAAAATGTTAATATTTATTGGATATAAGTTTTGCCTCTCATTAACAAAATTTTCAAGTCCATCACTGAAAAGAAACAAGAAGATTTTAGAAAAAAATACTAATAAAATCCCTTTGAATTACATAAATGACAATATGATTTTCTTGAAATGCCATAATTCTATTGAAATTCTTAGAGACTCTTCGATAATTAATAAATGATCAAATTACCCTCATAATAATATCATGATTTTGACAAGCGAATTTGTGATTTGTTCTATTAACCGATTAATTAAATTGCCTTAGAAAATTTTATAAATGATGGATGTGAAAGCTAACGATTTTATCAACAGATTTCAAACTTAAATTAACTGGTTAATTAAACTCCTCTTCTATTTAAACTTCTTTCCAAATAAGATCCTAAATTTTCACATTAAATAAATAAATATTATTTAAAATAAAATTAAATTAGAGTTATAGAGTATACAGAAATATGAAATATCAATCATTTGAAAAATATTGTAAAAAAGGGGGTCAAAAAATGTCAATTCACAAAATTTTGGGTTATTTGTTGTAGCCAACATTGCGTCGTTACGGCGGACCACACCGAGACTAATTTGATCTACATATTAATCAATGTTCTACACATAAACGGTGAAGGTAATTTGCTTTGAATTTCAAAATTTAAGATTCATAATACTATTCATGCAATATTTTAGGATTTATGGTGTTCATTAACAAGTGAAATATCAGCAATGCACTGTCACATCATCATTTGACTGGACCCTACAAGTAAACAGTAACAACATTATCTATAGTTAATGATGGAGTAATTTATTTTGGATTTAGAAGTTTTGAATTTTTTTATATATTTTAAGAGTTTATGATTTATGGTGTTTTTTGTATAATACTTAAGGCTCCAGAATATTCATTAACTCAAAAAGTAATAATCAATAATTAATATATATATATATATATATATAATTAAATAAAAAAGCCAATCTTCGCAGCTCTTTCCCATGAAAAGGAGAGCACTCGAGATATGGCTGATATAGTCTAAAGAAGATTCCTTTGGGCTTTACTTGAGGAAGATAACACGCGCTACACTGCAATACACACAACAAACTGAAAGCGGAAATAAATATTGGACCCTCTCTTCTCAACTTGTGCATGATTCGTTTTAACCTAATACAATAGCTATTTCTCAACTGGATGTTTATTGTGATTAATTCTATTAATTTAAAAATATGGTATCTCAATTCACTTAATAAAGAACCAAGCAAAAGGAAAGACATGGTCTTACTTTTTAACCAGTAAGTTGAATTATATTTTTCACTTGTTATTTTTTGTCATTTTTAATTTTTATATATGTTTCTCACATTCATTCTATACTTCCTTCTTAAAACTATAGTATTATATCACATTACTACCAATAAGAGTGTGTCTCCCAGAATGAGGACATTTGACTCGTTTGACAAATGAGTCACCATTAAGTATTTATTTAATTAATCAAGTTTTTAATCAAAAAATCGTGGCATGTTATACAATTTCATTAGTGTGTGTGTGTGTGTGTGTGGTTTTTTTTTTTTACAATGTCCACTTCAACTAAATCAGAGCAATGACTGTGATTATTGCCTGATAAAATTCATAAAGGATATCATCACCCATGCCCCTATCACATTGTCAAACAAGGTATATTAAATTTAATTGCATTTAAATTATAAGAAAAATTAATCTTTTAGTCCTTCAACTTTTAACTCCAGTCCCTCAACTATGACTTGCTACGACTCAGTCCTTCAACTATAACTTGCTGCAACTCAGTCCTTCAACTTTTGATTTACTTATAACTCGGTCCTTATTTTTTAATTTTTTTTAAAAAATTTTATCAAATAAGAGGAATAAAAAATGCTCATATATTATTTTAAAATACCCTCTTCTTATTTATTAATATGAGATATAAACTAACATGAAAATAAAATTAACAAAGGTTAAGGTATTAATTTGTAAGTGATTCAAAAGTTGAGGGACTGAGTCATAGGTGAATTATAGTTGAGGGACTAAGTCACAGTGAGTCATAGTTGAGGGACTGAGTTACAAGTGACTTAAAAGTTGGAGGACTAAAAGATTAATTTTTTCTAAATTATAAATTTTAATCAACTTTAAATAGCTAGCTATTAACTTGAACTTGTTGTGATTATTTGTTCACAGTACTTTGAGAATGCTTACTGTGTTCATTATACAGCTGCACATGTAGAAAAAATTTTTGAAGAGGTAGCCCAAGCCTTGTTTAATATGTGGGTAGTGGTAGTAGTTAAGCCAACCTAATAGTTAGTTAATTAGGTATATATGTTTTTCATGTTACATTTTTTTGGCCAATTTTATGCCTAAGGCCACTTAATTAGTTTTGAAAATTTAATTAGTTTGCAAATTATGGTTTATGGGGCTATAGGTATAGGAATTTAATTTATTATCCTTAAATAGTAACTTTCATAGAAACATTCATTGTATTATTTTTGGATGTTGGCCAACTGGTTTTCTTTTCTATTTTGTGTATCTTTATGTAGGAGGGCTGCTTGAAAAGCAACTTATCCTTTAAAAAAAAACACCACAAATACTTGACGGTTATTTAGATATAATATTTAAAAATAACTGTCAAGTTTTACCCCTAATACTTGATGGGTATATCTAAATGATTGTAAAGTATTTATGGCAAGAATCAGCTAAAATGAGAACTAATTTTTGCCATAATTACTTGACGGTAACTTACAAATAACCATCAAGTATTACCCAAATACTTGACGGTTTATAACTGTCAAATAAATATAGCCCTAATATATGGTGTCATTTTACTTGACGGTTAAAAATTGATAAATACAGGCTAAAATAACCATCAAGTATAGGAGTCTTTTGTAGTAGTGTTTTTATAATGGTTTAGCTGAGACAGTTCCTCCCATGAAATCGGGAACTCATTCACGCAATATCAGGTATTCAATATGCATGGTCCACAAGATCTGTGGCATAATCTTCCTATTTGCAACGCGTTCCATCGTTAACTGTTAGCCTATGTTCCCGAGATATTTATGGATAATGGTTATGACTTTGTGAGATTTGGGGCTTGTTGAGAATATGGCTTGTTGTGAGGTGACAATTTAGCTAAAGATTTCGAGTCTTAAGAGATTCATAGACTTAAGTTGTCTTAGTCAAGTTATTCGTCATGATCTAGGCTGGCCATGTTGTTGGATCACTTACTGGACTTGACTTTTCAATTTCTGACCTATTTTATACTATAGTCATGGTAAACAACATTTTAGTTTTAGCCCAAACAATAACATTTTACTCTACTCATAACAAAATGTGGAAAGATAAAATTAGAAAAAAAAAATGAATCATCCACCTTTTATACAAAATAATTTATGAAAAGAACTACTCCCTCCATTTAAAAATGTAAAGCATTTTTTGATAAGTTTAATGTTTAAAAATATAAGGCATTTTTAGTCTTTCGAGGTGTATTCTTTGTCTTTTTATCCAAAAATGTCCCTACTGATAATGACTTTATATTTATTATAGGGTGCTTAATATGAATAAATATGAAAAGATAGGGTTAGTTTAAAGTAGGTAACTACTTTATTAGAAGTGAAATTCGGTTAAAAATGCCTTACATTTTTAATGGAGGAAGTATCAATTATTTCTAGAAGGTAATTTATATATACCGTCAGAGGGAGCACAACACGACACACTTGTGAATTTTTTTGGAAGAATTACAATCAGGTCCCATACAGAAAAATTAATTACTGCAAAGTCCATTAACAACTGAACTAAATTGTATTGATAACAAATATAATTAATTGGTACCTAGCAATGCTACTTGCTATTTCATACTTCAAATACTCTTCACGTTTTTTAATATACGAGAATTCTAATCAATTTATATAGTCCAAGAAAATTTGTTAATTTTAATAATTATGTTTGAAATTGAAATATTTGAACTAAAATACTAATGTAATTGATGCTTATTTTTTCCTCTAATTTAATTATACTATCCATTTACAAGGGACAATTTGAAAAAGAAAATGTAATTAATATTTCTTAAAATTTATAGTTTTTCTTATAATAAAAAAACAAAAAATAAGATAATTTATCTTATATTTGAAAACAAAGTAGTATTATGAAATACATATTTGGGACAGGCTTCTTTTCATTACTTGAAGAGTGGTTATCTAGTTAGTGTTTTTTTTTTTTTAATTGGGCGGTGGGTGGTTAGGACTTGACCCAATTACCATACATAGGTTAATTCATGAGGATTTTTCTCTCCCATCAAGCTAGAATGTGTTTGTGGGATATTATCATTCTCTGTCTGTATGATTAAAAGGTCATTCACAAAACTGAATTTGACCGTACGTTATGAAGCATGATACCAAGAGGAAAATACATATATAACTACTTCTGGTTCTGGATACATACACATATGTTTTATTTAGTTCACTAACATTAAAATTTAAAAATATAATTTGAGTAATTCATGAGTAACATTTGAATGTACTATCATATCGATCAGCATATAGGACAATCATGATTAAATTTACACGTCTTATATCTTTACAGATCTACAT